TATGGCCACAAACATCACCGGCAGCCAGTCTCCACAAAAGGGGTCTGAATGATCAGTATGCAGGGATTCCGGATGCTCTAGCATTCTCCAGCTGCTGAGAACTAGTTGAGATTCTACGTCAACCATTTCAGCAACCATGTGAGCACCGGGCCCCCTGACCCCACCACGAATTCAGGGAGTCTTGTGCTTTCTGCACAGATTAAGCAGCAGCTAATGCCAGCACCACTTGGAGCGCATTTGCCTGACCCCACCACCTGATGCTCAGATTACCTCGGGGTCCGACTTGTGGGCCTGCGATGCTTGGAGGATGGACTCAAGCATAGCATCGCCCGGCTTCTGGCCCTCTTGCAGCAAATCCAGCATCCTGGATCACAGGTGGGATCCATATCGCTTCTAACAACTACCTTCTTCTAGACCGTAAGACCCCTCAAAGACCCTGCAAACTTCAGCTCATGGCCCAGCGTCTCTTTGCTGAACATCTTCTGCAAGGCATCCGGGCTGTTGATGACTTGCGCGGCCACCGGATTCCTTCGCCAGTCTTAATCTCTAGGAAGGGGGTAATACATCGCAAGCAATCCTCAAATTGCCATGCCCCCCACTGCGCGCATCAGAAAGCCTGCTTTGCTATGGTGTCGGTTCGTTGGGGGAATATGCAGTACACTATCAGAAAAATGTGCTCATTCTTCGGACTTGTTTCGATGCTCATCTACAAGCCCCCCAAACCCTCAAATTGACCAAGCTTCATGGCAGCCAGCTGCTGCATTAGAGGGCTTGCATGGATGACCTTCGCAAGCTTCTCCGGGTCTGAGGCGATGTCTTGCACTCGGCCCCTGACCTCTGCAACATGCTGGGTGGTTCTCACAACTGGTACCCCAAACCCTAAAACCCTAAACCCTAATCCTTACACAGTAGCCTCCATGTTCCTTTCCACTATCCCTGTATAACCCCTATATAACCCCTGTACTGGGATCCCAAATAATCCCCAAAAGCAGCCGCATCCCCCGGATGGCACATTCCGAGTCTAGGATTTCGGGGTCAATGCGTCTACTTGGGGGCCCAGGGGACTTAGTAACTACTTATAACTGGGACTATAACCCTACTCATAATTGGGGTAACCCCTATAAGCCCCTTTAAGGGGATTATAAGTAGGGTTATAAGCCCAGTTATAAGTAGTTCCTAAGTCCCACGAGCTCCAAGTAGGGTTCACGACATTTTAAAGGCCTACGGAGCCCAAACGAGGCTCCCAAAAAGGGATGGTCATTTTGGTCAGACATGGGCAATGTTTAGAGTTTCGGGTTTTAGGGTTCGGGGTTTAGTCTAGGTGTTGAAGATCTGTGTGTGAACCCCAACAAGCCCGTAGAAACGTTATGACAGGCTTTTTGTGATGCATTTGTCCAAACGCCCCTCCACCCAAAACCCTACGCCCCAAAACTCCTGTACAGTCATTTCGCGTGGTTACCAGTAGGGTTGAAAATCTAACACCTGTTGTAAGTAGTTGCTGAGCCCCATGAACCACAAGTACGCCCTAAAAACACTTTTAAAGGAACGTGAGTGACATTTGGATTGTTGAGCTCCTTCTGCAAGTCGTCTGCCACTCCAGGTGCTGCGGGGAGAGCCGTGCCATTTACAGCATCCTACAAGGTCGAACTGGGGGAGTTCATAAGGTTTAGATTTTAGGGTTGGGAGGTTACGACCCGCAGGAGTAGGAACTCAGAAGGGAACGTGATAGCAAGTAGGTCGTAGGGGCCTTGAAATGGGCAGCAGCCCACCATACTGAGATAGGATATCCCTGAAGAATTTGCTCTTTTGTCCATCCCCAAGTAAGTCCTCGCCCATGTTGCCAGAAGTCTGCGTCATCTTCTGCAACGCCTCAGGCTAGGGTTTTGGATAGCTCTAATTAATGGGAATCAACAAGTCTGCAAAGCGACCCCCAAAACAAGGAGCGCAAGGTGTACTTGATGATCCATGGGAGCTTCTACAAAGTGACGGTGCCCCAATCGACCGACAGCTCAATGAGGATCATCCGTGCTTAACAGAAACCAAATCAGAACCCGCTGTTTTTCAGAACGGTGCCAAACACACAAACCTGAAGCCCAAGCCCGAGACCAAAATCCTTGGATCGATTCCTGGCCTTCTACCAGGCATATATATATATATATAGATATGTACATATGCATATATATATATACATAAGGGTTCCATATTTGTTAAAATGTTGCAAACTCCTTTGGAGGTTTAGACTCGCAAGCCGCGCCTCAGGCTCCATGCGCTGACCTCGCCCGAAGCTCTGGAAGACCTCCGTCCACGAGCCCAGGCCCTTGAGCCCCTCATGAAACTTGCCTCAGTTCGGCGGGTTTAGGGTTGAGAGTTTAAGGGTTAGGGTAGAGCTCCGGCATAAGCCCATATAACCCCTCAGCTTTTTTAGCTTAGGGGTGCGGGCCTTTTTTTGTCGGCTCAGGGTTGTGTGTTTATTGCGTGCGGTTCGCTTAGGGACCACCACGTAGCTACCAACTGGGTAGCGGCCCACAAAGAGTCAATTGAAGATATAAGGTTGAGGGGCTTCTTGGATCTTGCCTAGGCTCATTTAAGCGTTTACCCAGGTTCAATGCTCGGAAGTTGAAAGAAGCCCCCAGATGAAAACCTGAACCACTCAGGTACTGCTTTAGACTCTATTCAGCCTAAACCTTACACCGCATCCGCACCTCAATCTGTGTGCCAAGCCTGTAGATCCTGAACCCTAACCCACAAGCCCTAAACCCCTATTGTTTCTTCCTAGTCCCCAATGCCAAGGCGTCATCCACAGACCACAAACACTAAGACCAATCCCTCAACCCCAAGCCCAAATATGTCTGGCTGAAGTTTTAGAATTTAGGGTTTGGGATTTATGGTTTAGGGTTCAGGGCTTAGGACTTAGGGTTTCGCATTTAGGATTTAGGGTTTAGATTTACGGTTGCGCCCCGTTGTATTGTAGCTGCCTGAGTGTACGTACTCCGCCAGGGTGAAATTCGGCGCGCTGGCTGGCTGAAGCGCGCATGCCATGCGGCCCAGAACCTCATGGAGATTCTGGAGGGCTTATGTTTAAAAGGGATAATGGGGCTATATAGGGATTCTATAGGGATATACAGGGTTAGCAATTAGCATATAGGGGCTGTATAGAGATTAAAAAGGGGTATACAGGGTTTAGCGCTTAGGGCTTTCCAGAATTAGGGGTACCATTGCGGGGGAGTCCATTATAAGGGTTATAGTGCTTTTGGGGTTTATATAAAGGTCCCCTCATCTGGGAACTACCCCAAAGGTTAGAAAGAACAATTTTAGCGGACAATTTTGCATGCATGTGTAGAGACTTGTGGTTTAGGAAAATTTGAGGTTTCAATGTTTTCGCAAACTCTACCCTAAACCCTAAACCCTATTCCGCGTCAATGTGGAGTTCCAGAAAACTGAGGCTACCTACCTTGAGGGCTGAGAAGATGCACATGCTCTGACAACCCATGTAAGCGAGGACTGACGGCATGCTGGGGATCCTCGGGTTTAGGGTTGATGGTTTGCTAGATGCCCTCTATCTGCTGCAAGTGGGACGCTCATGTGGGAAACAAATAACCTCCCAACAGATACCCCTAATATGATCCTGGATAGAACTGGGGGAAAGCAACAGATGCCCTTAATATCTCACAGGAGAGAATTGCGGGGAAGCCACTACCCATACGGGCCAAGTTGCAACCAGGCAGGCCCAGGCGATTGGGAGGCCGTGCACCATGCTTGAGAGGACTGTAAACTACTGCTGTGCTGATCCCTTTGCTGCTGAGCACCAATGGGCCGACAAGGAAACCAGCATGGTTTAGGGTTCAGGGTCTTTCAAAACTATGGGTCCTTTTGGGCATCCTTAAGATGCGGGAAGGCAAGTAAGGACCTCCAGCATGTCCACAACTCTCAGCCCTCGCACGAAAGAGCCTCCCGGCATACCACTCATCCACCACCAGCACTTCCTTGACATAGAGCCGGCGGTCCTGAATATCATGAGGTTGGGAAGCCAGGGGTATGGGTCCTCCAGCCCCTTGACAAGGTTAAGCGGTCCTAGGGAATAACAATAAGTGCGTACGGAGTCATGAACTTTGCCAGTCTGACTAATATGGGGATTATATATATAATATATATGTATATACATATATTAGAGGGTCGTATAAGGATAAAAGGACTGGAAAAGAACATGGAGACCAGCTAATTACTGTAGATTATGCAGGGCTGGTTTGAGGCTTCATGTTGCTTTTCTTTCCTGCTGCGTCCTTCGTTTAGCAAAAGTTGTCCAGCCTGTTCCATGTTTCCCACTCGTCACTACCAGTAAGTACTCCAGGGGGGGGGGAACAGTTCGTGAACAGTTCGAGA